ACATCTGTTATTTGACTAGAGCAGGGAAGTGGGAGTCACGACTCCTAGAATTTAATTTTCATTCTTCAACTGACTCACAGTGACACCTTAAGCACTCTGTGCTCCAGTGTGTCCATCCATAAAATAGACTTAACAGCTTACTTACATAAAGATGTTCTGAGACTCGTTTTTTCATGCTTGCAAAACACTCAGATCCTTGACCATCTGTTATTTGACTAGAGCAGGGAAGTGGGAGTCACGACTCCTAGAATTTAATTTTCATTCTTCAACTGACTCACAGTGACACCTTAAGCACTCTGTGCTCCAGTGTGTCCATCCATAAAATAGACTTAACAGCTTACTTACATAAAGATGTTCTGAGACTCGTTTTTTCATGCTTGCAAAACACTCAGATCCTTGACTGAAAAGCACTGCAGAAGTGGGAGTTGTAGGGGGTGGTGCTGTACACAAAGCCACTTGCCTCCCCCTCCACCACCCCGACCTGTACCACCAAAGGTAAGCTCCCCCCCTCAACCCTCTACAACAGCCCTAAATCCCCTCCCACATCCTAACTCCCACCCAGACACCGTACACCAATCTCCTGCCCTGAGCCCTTCCAAATAACTGGGCCCAGCATGGAACCCCTTCCTACATTCCAAATGCCTCATCCTCAGCTATACCCCAGAGCCCACTCCCCCAATCGGAGCCCTCATCCTCCCTCACACACAGCCTCCTGCCTCAGCCCACAGTCTCCTCTTCTACTCTGAATCTCTAATTTTTGGACCAAACACAGAGTCTAGAGGGCCCCTAAAACTCTAATAGACCCAGGCACCCAGAAGAGTTAATCTAACCCTGTGGGATTATAATATTGCTTCAGACTCTCCACCTGCTTTCTCATCTTTCTCTAATGAAACCTGCCTTTCCTCAAGCACCAACCAGCATTCAATATTAAATAAAAAGACTATTTCTTAGGGTATGTCTACACTGCAATACTATTTTGGGATACTGGAGGTATCCTGAAATAGTTACCCCATGTGTACACAAGCCACCCATGAAATATTTCAAAATAACAGGCACGCTATTTCACCCTCCTGGTAAACCTCGGTGCATGAAGGATAAGGGTTGGCTCGAATTAGCATGTTATTTCAAAATTTGGCATTGTGTAGATGCGCCAAATTTCAAAATAAGCTATTTCGAAATAGATTCGAGATAAGATACGCAATGTGTAGCACAAATTGCAGATCTTATTTTGAGTTTAGAGTGCTGTGTAGTCGTTACAATTTTTCTGTTTTGTTTAATTACTACAATTGCAACAGTATGATTTTCTACTATTTTTCATTGCAAATATACGGTATCTCAGCTACTTTATGGGTTAAATAGGCTCTTGTGGGCTAGCTTGGGAACCTAACCACCATTTATAACATTCTTTCTATGGGAAAATGTGTCCGAGTTCCAAACAACCAACTTACAAATATACATTGAAAGCATTTTAAATTCCTATATATTAAAAGCACTTTATCTACATTAATTAATTTAGCCTTGCCTTAAGCCTGTCAGGGACGTAAGTTGTTACTACACCCATTTTACAAATAGGAAAACTAAGAGAAAAAGAAGTAGATGGCCACATTCACAGAGCAAAATCCATTCCTGTACTGAGACCCAGCACAAGAATAACGCATCACTTAAGATGTCAAAATAGGGCTACTTGGGATCCAAGTTGCAACCTTACAAGATAAACAGTACTTACTTTTCCTTAGGTTCCTTTGGTGAACCTTCCAATGGCTTGGGTTTTATACTCCCTGATCCAGGTGATTTTTCCCATTTGCTTTCTTCAATATCAGCTTCTTCTCCTTTTTCCTTATTCATTTCACCGATCAGATCATCACCTTTTTCAGGCTTTTTAAGAAGCTATGAAATAAAGTTTATGTTAATGTATAAGTGTTAATGTACCCTAAGACATTTCAGCAACTTATTATTCTAATGTATACCAGCTAATGCTAATTAGCAAAACCTATTTCATTCAGATTTTATTTTAGTGATTTAATTTTTTTCAAAGATCATTAAAACAGACATTTAAAATGCAGTTTACCTATATTAATAGATGACTAAAGTACAATACAAATCATGCAGCTGCAACCTTAAAAATATGATTTAATAAAAAATACTTGAAAATATATGCTTACCTACTTTATTCTCCTGGGTATTAGCTATAAATAATTACTGTGTATCTCAGAGACAGGCAAAAGATTGTATGTGTTGAAATTAGGGATGTTAAATTTCAATTAATCAGCTAATTGAGTAGTCAATAGACTAAGAGGAAAAACAACTGAACAGAGCTGGCAGCTTTTTAAAGGGACATTATTAAGGGCACAAAACCAAACAATTTCTCTGTGTAGGAAAGATAGAAAGTGTGGCAAGAGACCACTTTAAATCAACCAGAAGATCTTATATGATCTAAAAATCAAAAAGGAGTCATATAAAAAGTGGAAACTAGATCAAATTACAAAGGATGAACTATGAGAAAACAACACGGGTATGCAGGAGCAAGATTAGAAAGGCAAAGGCCAAAAAGGAGCTAAATCTAGCTAGACATACAAAGGGTAACAATAAGATGTTCTACAAATATATTAGAAGCAAGAGGAAGACCAAGGACAGGGTAGGCCCATTGCTCCGTGAAGAGGGAAAAACAATAACAGGAAACTTGGAAATAGCAAAGGTGCTTAATGACTTCTTTGTTTAAGTTTGATGATGATGGGATGCCTACCATAGTGAATGCTAGTGGAAATTGGGTAGTTAAAATAAAAAAAGAACAAGTTAAAATTACTTAGAAAAGTTAGAAGTCTTCAAGTCACCAGGGCCTAATGAAACGCATCCTATAATAAGGAGCTGAGAGAGGAGATCTCTGAGCCTTTAACTTTGAAAAATCATCTTCAAAAAATCATGGAAGTCAGGAGAGATTCTAGAAGACCAGAAATGGGCAAATATAGTGCCCATCTATAAAAAGGTAAATAAGAACAACCCAGAAAACTACAGACCAGCCAGTTTAACTTCTTTGCCAGGGAAGATAATGGCACAAGTAATTGAGGAATCCATCTGCAAACATCTGGAAGATAATAAGTTGATAGGTAACAGCCAGCATGGATTTGTAAAGAACAAATCATGTCAAACCAGTCCGATAGCTTTTATAGGAAAACAAGTTTTGTGGATAAAGGAGATGTGGTGGACGTGGTATACCTAGACTTTAGTAAGGAATCTGACATGGTCTCGCATGACCCTCTTATCAATAAACTAGGGAAATGCAACCTAAATGGGGCTACTATAAGGTGGGTGCATAACTGGCTGGATAACCCTTTTCAGAGAGTAGTTATTAACAGTTCACAAACATACTGGAAGGGCATAACAAATGGGGTTCCACAGGGGTTTGTTTTCGGACCAGTTCTGTTCAATATCTTAATCAATGATTTAGATGATGGCATAGAGAGTATGCTTATTAAGTTTTCAGATGATACCAAACTGGGAGGAGTTGCAAGTGCTTTGGAAGATAGAATCATAATTCAAAATGATCTGGACGAACTAGAAAAATGGTCTGAAATAAACAGGATGAAGTTTAACAAGGACAAATCCAAAGTACTCCACTTAGGAAGGAACAATCAGTTTCACACATACAGAACGGGAAGGAGTACTGCTGAAAGGGATTGAGGTATCACAGTGGACCACAAGTTAAACATGCGTCAACAGTGTGACACTGTTGCAAAAAAAGCAAATACATCCCAGAATCACATTAACAGGAGTGTTGTGAGCAAGACACAAGAAGTCATTCTTCCGTTCTACTCTGTGCTGATTAGGCTTCAATTGGAGTATTGTGTCAAGTTCTGGGCACTACATTTCATGAAAGATGTGGAGAAATTGGAAGGTCCAGGGAAGAGCAACAAAAATGATTAAAGATCTAGAAAACATGACCTATAGAATTGGGCTTGTTTAGTTTAGAAAAGAGAAGACTGAGAGGGGACATGATAGTGGTTTTCAAGTATCTAAAAGGGTGTTACAAGGAGGAGGGAGAAAAATTATTCTCTTTTGCCTCTGATGATAGGACAAGAAGCAATGGGTTTAAATTGCAGCAAGGGAGGTTTAGGACTAGACATTAGGAAAAACTTCCTAACGGTCAAGGTGGTTAAACACTGGAACAAATTGCTTACGGAGGTTGTGGAATCTCCATCACCGGAGGTATTTAAGAGCAGGTTGAATAGACATCTATTAGGGATGATCTAGATAATATTTGGTCCTGCCACAAGGGCAGGGGAATGGACTCAATGACCTTGAGGTCCCTTCCAGTTGTAGAATTCTATGATTCTATTCTATGATTCTAGATAACAAGGAGGCAGAGACACAGCAGTTGGACTGGTATGAGCAGGGACTGCTTCACTCCCCTCTCACAATGTTTCCCCACTGTGCCACCCACCCCTGCGAAGATGGTGCTGGGGGAAACCGGCTTTTCAGCTAGCTCCCCCGAGTACCGGCTCCTGCTCTCCTGCCCCTTGCTGCCTCTGATACAGAGGCAGAAAGAGGGGGAGAAGTGACTAGTTGAGTAGTGACTCATCTACCCAATAAGCCTATGTCTGTGGGCCCAATCTTATTATCATTTAAATGAATAGCAAAACTACCATAATACTTCAAAGAATGCAGAATCACTCCTCACTTCTCTACGTAATTTATAAAAACTGGTAACACATGAGCAGATTAAGATATACTTTCCGTACAGCACATTTTGAAGTGCATAGTTATTTTTCTTTTCTTGCCATGTGAAGATGTAGAATGTTTCTTGTCTTGTTGCCTGCACATGCACAATTAGCAATACTGGTACACAGCATATCATTACTGTACACCAATTTACATCTTCCAAGCACTCTATAAACTTTGAGGCTCAATCCTGCAAACCTTAATCAAGTGAATAGTTCTTTCCCTTACCTTTAATTTTTAGAAATGAGGCTTTGTGTAACTGAACTGATTAATTGCATAAAATATAAATGTAACCACTATCTATTAATGTTAAACATATAGTAGAAAGAACAGTGCAATCTGGTAACCACAAATTTTATTTTACAATTTTAGGCTCATATTGTTGTAATGTATTTTTCTTAACATTTTTGTAAAAAAATCATTTTAAAATATAGGTACAGTCTTAACAGGTTACTTGTATATTTATATCTTTACCACCTTTTATTGACTTGGGATCTCTCCATTGGCCTTAGTGGAGTTACACATTGGCTGAGCTTGGCCAGCATTCTCATTAGTTTAAAATTTGAGTCTCCCCTATGATAGCAATATGATCCATTATGTTTGCCCTCTTGACCACTCTTTACACTTCTGGAGAAGTTCCTTATTTCCTATACAAGATCCATATTCTAGTTTTATTATATTGTATTGGCTCTATTTTTAAAAATGTATTTTAATACGAAGAAAGTTTTTTACATATCTCTCAACGTGACATCATTGTCTCATTAACTACATGGTATTCATCAAATGGAATGCATGAAATATGGCATTAATTATAACCTACACAGTAGAGATTTGATTCCAATTATAAGCAGAGAAATTAGGGACATATACTTTACATGTACAGAAAATATATATTTAAATTTAATTCTATGAACTTACATATGCTGACTTACAACTCTTTGTACTAGTACAATATTCTGATTTACTGTATTTTCCGGCGTATAAGACGACTTTTGATGCTAAAAAACATCCCCCAAAAATCGGGGGTCGTCTTATATGCCGGGTATACAGGCGGCAGGGCATCCCAGGCGCGCCTGGGATGCCCTGCCGCCTGTATACCCGGCATATAAGACGACCCCCGATTTTTGGGGGATGTTTTTTAGCATCAAAAGTCGTCTTATACGCCGGAAAATACAGTAAATCAGAATATTGTACTAGTACAAAGAGTTGTAAGTCAGCATATGTAAGTTCATAGAATTAAATTTAAATATATATTTTCTGTACATGTAAAGTATATGTCCCTAATTTCTCTGCTTATAATTGGAATCAAATCTCTACTGTGTAGGTTATAATTAATGCCATATTTCATGCATTCCATTTGATGAATACCATGTAGTTAATGAGACAATGATGTCACGTTGAGAGATATGTAAAAAACTTTCTTCGTATTAAAATACATTTTTAAAAATAGAGCCAATACAATATAATAAAACTAGAATATGGATCTTGTATAGGAAATAAGGAACTTCTCCAGAAGTGTAAAGAGTGGTCAAGAGGGCAAACATAATGGATCATATTGCTATCATAGGGGAGACTCAAATTTTAAACTAATGAGAATGCTGGCCAAGCTCAGCCAATGTGTAACTCCACTAAGGCCAATGGAGAGATCCCAAGTCAATAAAAGGTGGTAAAGAACTTATAGCTTATGAATGACAGAAAAAAAGGTGTGGTATATTACAAGTACAAGCACTATGTAGTGGAAAATGTAGAAGATATACAGTAATCCAGAAATCTTTCAGCCTTCATGTTGGGGTTTCACAAAATGGCTACCTCATGAGCAAAAAGAAAAGTTAGAGTAACAAAAACAGAAAAATAGTTAAAAGGGATATTAAAAAATCCTAGAATCCCTACTCTTCCTGACTCCTTGACAAACTTCTAATCATGGGGAGCTGAGTTAGATTTTCCTTCATTCTGCCCAATTGATATGAGTACTTAGGAAGTTAATGGGAGACAGAGAAACAAATTCTGAATAGTTTCAAATGAAAAATAATTTAAATTTTTTCTTAAAAGTACCTTGATCCTTATTTCTTTTTCAGCAATTTTCTTTTGCTTCTCTGCTTCTTTTCTTTTACGTCTTTCTTCCTCTCTGCGCTTTCTTTTCTCTTCCTCTCGCAGACGTTTCTTTTCCAATTCTCTCCTCCTTCGTTCTTCCCTTTTTTCTTCTCGTATCCTCTGAAGAATTGGAAAATTGTTTATATAATTTTTTTTCAAATGTAAAACATACTTGAAACATAAAAGTTGAGCTTCAGTTAAAAGACTGGACCTACCTGCTTTTCTAATTTTCTATTTTTAATATATTCCAAAAGAGGTGTTGTTCTTCTAGCTAAAATACAAAAAATGTGTAATGTAGTGTTCAACTCCTAAAATATGTACTTGTTTCTTTTAAAAAAAGTATTTACCCTTTCTTTTAAGCTTTAACTGTAAGGGAGGTAGGTGACATATAACACTTTATTTCAAGCGATGTATATATGTTGGAAAATGTCCCCATCTCTCCATTCAGAAAGGATCCCTGGCTCTTCATCACTAAGGAGCCTAGAAGTAAGAGCCAGAGATATTTTCTGTGATTATTTAATGTTTGACTCATAATCAGATACTTCAATTTTCAGGAAAGAATTTTCCTGTTGTTCATGAAAATATTATTTACAAAAAGGAAACCAATATATTCAAAATGTATTCCTAAATTTTAACACTGGTATACCAGTACCTGGCTGTGCAGCTATTCTTTAACTACCATTACCGTGGTCATATACAGCACTTTTCATCCACAGATCTCAAAGCACTTACAAAGGTGGTATCATCCTCATTTTACTGATAGACACACAGATGTGAAATGATTAGTCTAAGATAACACAGCAGGCTATAGAAGAACCAGGAAAATAACAGCTCTTCTGAGTCCCAATATTTACTACATTAAACTTTCTTTCTTACAATATGGGTCTGACACTGCTTCCAACTAGAATTAAATCCAAGCTAAATCCGCAGATTGAAACATCAGACTTTATAGAAATTTGGAGTTAAATCCAAGCTTTGCGGCTTGCATGCCACTTCTAATTACAACTCTGAATTTTCTGGGCTGAAACTTTAATTGAGGGCTGAAACTTCCAATACTATAGATACAGATGTAAGTAGGTATAAACATGTTTTAGCTCCTCTGTCAGTTTTAGATGTACAAGAACAGAACTGTAACAAAGCACAATATTTAGGACTAAAGACTGCTTTGGATGCATGTAAAGGGCTCTCACTAAATCCAAAAGAAGACGAGCAAACACAAAGGGAAAGGAGGGAGAGTGGAATTGCCATTAGGGTGTATGATATAATTTTGAAGCCACCACAACAAAACAAAGTTGTAAAAGGTCATTTTCTTGAAGCTGTGATTTCCTTGATCTGACCTTTAACATTTAAAACATGACTTAAACCTGGCCTAAATTCATGTTCTAAAAATATCCTAATTTAAGACGTTACTAGTTATTGTGATACAATTATTCTTAAATTATTTAGTTACAAAATCTTAAATGCAAACTTAAAAGCCTTTTTAAAAAACATGAATGAACCCTTAAAAAGAAATCAGATGAAAATTTAAGAAGAAATGGGGATCTCTATGCAAGCAACAGCTTTGAATTTGTGTCTTTCTTTTCTAAAAACATGGCCAAAAGGACCACTGAGCCTATGTTAATGTTGTTAAAGAAATTCTGCTTTTTAATTCTGTATTACATTACTCTGTCACACTGAAATTGATAAGCTAGACTAGAGCACCTGAAAGGAGCTATCAAATATGCTCATTTGAGCTAACATGACCTGGAGGCACATTTGGAATCCTTTGAGAATTTGAGGCTCAGTTCTGCTCTCCGATACATGGCCATATCTTTCACTAACTTCAATGAGAGTTACACTCGTTTCTGAAGCACAGCTGGGCCCTTGTACGATTCACCTACAGCTAGGGATGTTGAAATATGTTTGTTTAATTAAACTTGTGACTGCTGAAAAATTCAGTGGTTACATGTTTACATATGGGGGAAGGCAGCTCCCATGGAGCTGCCTGCCCCACTCTGCACTGTTGCCTTTTTATCAGAGGTAGAAGCATCAGGGAGTGAGGTGCTGGTGGGGTGCCAGCTTTTAGGGTAATCGGTTACCCATTTACGCATTTACAATATCACATCCCTAGGTAGAGCTATGGTACTAAGTTCTTCTTGGTTTTGACATTGATAAAACATGGTTGCAACTTAAAAAAAACATTTAAAAAAAATCACTCAAAATAAATATAGGATAATTTAATTTGATCTGCTGTGAATAGACTTCATAGAAACAAAACATTAAAAAGCCATTCTGCAGAACCTCCCTCAGCTGAGATACTGTCAACACTGAATTTGCAACTTTAAGGCTATCCCTTTTACTTTAATAGCTCAAAAATGGAGTTACAAAATTTTTTATTAAGATACTGAGAAACTTAGTCATTTTCACACTGCTGTGAAATATCTAGGGAAACCTTCTGGCCAAGTACGGATACGCATTTGGGGAACTTCCACATCTATAACAATCCCACATTTTCAAGCTTTGTTAATGATAGAGTTATTTACTATTCTTAGTAATATTCTTCCCACCTCACCACTGATTTATCCTTACTCTTTGCTATGCTCCAAATAACTCTTCACTAATTGTTAACTCACACACCTACTAAATAAGCAAGTACCAAGGTCCATGCTGCAGTGTGAGTGTGCCAAGGCTGGACCACCACTTCCCACAGCTCCCACTGACTGGGAATGGCAAACGGTGGCCAATGGGAGCTATGAGAGGCAGTACCTGGTAAATAAAGCATCTGGCAGCCTGGCAGGAGCTGACCCTGGCAAACCCTTTCCATTTATTGCCCAACCCTCTGCTAAGGATTTGGAATACCTTGCATTACTTAACAACTATCCCCTCCTAGGACCAGAAACTAAGGGTGAGAATTGAAAGTGGAAGGCAGCTTGGGTGAAAATGATCATTAAATCATAGAGTTCATGATTCTAAGGAATGTTAGAAGGGAGAACAGCAAAATAGAGACAGTGGATTTCAGGAAGGTAGTTTTTAGTAAACTCAGCTGGTAGGTAACGTCCCATGAGAAGCAAAACTAAGAGGAAAAACTACCGATTGGAGTTGGCAGTTTTTTAAAAGGACATTATTAAGGTCCCAATAGCAAAATATTCCACTGCGTAGGAAAGAAAGAAAGTATGGCAAGAGACCACCTTGAATCAATCAGGAGCTCTTATATGATCTAAAAATCAAAAAGGAATCATATAAAAATTGGAAACTAGGTAAATTACAAAGGATGAATATGAGCAAACGCCGCAGGTATGCAGGGTCAAGATTAGAAAGGCAAAGGCACAAAACGAGCTAAATCCAGCTAGAGACACAAAGGGTAACAAGAAGATGTTCTACAAATATATTAAAAGCAAGAAGATGACCAAGGAGAAGGTAGGCCCCTTGCTCAGTGAAGAGGGAGAAACAACAACAGAAACTTGGAGCATGACTTTGTAAATCTCCGATCCGCGGCGCCGGGATGAGCCCGACACCACGAGTGGAACATCCACGGGGACCACTCGAAGAAGAACTTGGAAACAGCAAAGGTGCTTAATGACTGTTTCAGTTTGATGGTAACGGGATGCTTAACATAGTGAATGTTCATGGAAATGAGGTAATGTTTAGAAGTAAAAAAAGAACATGTTAAAAATTATTTAGAAAAGTTAGATGTCTTCAAGTCACCAGGGCCTGATGAAATGCATCCTAGAATACTCAAGGAGCTAATAGAGGAGGTATCTGAGAATTAGCTATCATCTTTGAAAAAATCACAGAAGTCAGGAGAGTTTCTAAAAGACCGGAAACGGGCAAATATAGTGCCCATCTATAAAAAGGTAAATAAGAACAACTCAGGAAGCTACAGACCAGTTAGTTTAATTTCTGTGCCAGGGAAGATAATGGAGCAAATAAAAAGGGAATCCATTTGCAAAAATCTGGAGATAAGAAGTTGACAGGTAACAACCAGAATGGATTTGTGAAGAACAAATCACGTCAAACCAGTCCAATAGCTTTCTTTGATAGGATAACAAGTCTTGTGGATAAGAGAGAAGTGGTGGACGTAGTATACCTAAACTATTATAAAGTAGGAATATAACTGGCTGGATAATAGTTCTCAGAGAATAGTTATTAATGGTTCACAGTCACAGTGGAAGGACATAAACTAATGAAAAGCTGGGTATCCAAAGGGGGTCGGTTTTGGGACTGGTTCTGTTCAATATCTTCATCAACAATTTAGATATTGGCATAGAGAGTACCCTTATTAAGTCTGCAGATGATAACAAGCCGGGGGGATTGCAAAAGCTTTGGAGGATAGGGTCATAATTCAAAATGATCTGGACAAACTGGAGAAATGGTCTGAAATAAGCAGGATGAAGTTTACTAAGGACAAATGAAAAGTACTCCACTTAGGAAGGAACAATCAGTTTCACACATACAGAATGGGAAGTGATTGTTTAGGAAGCAGTACTGCTGAAAGGGATCTAGGGGTCAAAGTGGACCACAAGTTAATATGGGTCAACAGCGTGATGCTGTTGAAAAAAAAAAGCAAACATGATTCTGGGATGTATTAACAGGAGTATTGTGAGCAAGACACAAGGAGCAATACTTCTGCTCTACTCTACAGTGATTAGGCCTCAGATGGAGTATTGTGTTCTGTTCTGGGCACCACATTTCAAGCAAGATGTGGAGAAATTGGAGACGGTCCAGAGACGAGCAACACAAATGATTAAAGGTCTAGAAGACTGAAAGAATTGGGCTTGTATAGTTTAGAAAAGAGAAGACTGAGAGGGGACATGATAGAGGTTTTCAAGTATCTAAAAGGGTGTTACAAGGAGGAGGGAGAAAAATTGTTCTCCTTAGCCTCTGAGGATAGGACAAGAAGCAATGGGCTTAAACTGCAGCCAGGGAGGTTTAGGTTGGACATTAGGGAAATTTTCTTGTCAAGGTGCTTAAACACTGGAATAAATTGCCTTGGGAGGTTATAGAAACTTCATCACTGGAGATATTTAAGAGCAGGTTGGATAGACATCTATCAGGGATGATCTAGAATTCTCAATGGTGATTAGTCCTGCCATGAGGGCAGGGGACTGGACTCAATGACCTCTCAAAATCCCTTCCAGTTCTAGTATTCTATGATACTATGAAATCTTGGTTTTCAGCATAGCAGTGAAAAGTACTAATCAAAAGGTTAATTTCTAGGGTAAGTACAACCGTTTTTTTTTTTTTTTCAAAAGCTGAGTTGGGAAAAAAATAGATTGCATAACAGAGCAGGAAAGACCATGCATACAATTTTTTTGCTTTGTAGTACCCTCATGAGCTTTAAATATATGTATTATTTATAATGTTCACACTGTTGAATCCTGAACAATGAAACCCAATATATTTTAATCCTGAAGAGCTCAATCTTGATCTGATGTGTACTGATCCTGCTCTAGAATATGAGAGACATGCTGCCTATATAAACACAGTTTAATTCAATATTTGATTATTTTTTCAGCCTTCCCTGAGATGATCTTGATAGGGTATTTCACCTTTCACTGTGCAGACACCCAGGATTATGAACGAGCTTGAATGCAGTATTGAGGCTCTTGACCATTCTTTCATTTTACGTTTTCATTTTAGCCTTTCTAACCATCTTTCAACAGTAAACATATATTATTCCTTTATAAATACTAAGGACCAATTTTTGAAGACATTGAATATACGGAACATATGAGTTCAATGCATTCAGAAGCAGAAGTGTACCATATGACGTGGTTGTAAGCATTACCCCAATGGAGAATAAGAAAATATACTCTCAATTACTGCCAGACTGAATGGGGGAGATCCTGCTGGTAGTATCCCAAAAATATGAAAAGAATAATCTTAAAATTATCAGTAATGAGGAAAAAAGACAAATAAAACAGACCAATGAGTTCCCTTGTTTTTGCTTCAATCTCTCCCAACAGAATCTCAGGGTTAGCACAGATTTTCTCTTCATCAGCACAGTAACTTTCTAAAAATTTCCTATATTCTGGATCTGTGAAAATATTGTAAAAAATATTAATAAGCTATTTATACTTCACAACACTAAACAGAAATTAGTATCTTATATTATTAACAATAAACTAAGCATCTTTTTCATCATGAGATCAAGAAAATGTGTTTACCATCTTCAATGCTTCCAGCTTTTGCATCTTTTTTCTTTAGCTTCTTTTTTGAAATCTTTTGGAACGGAGCAAATTCCACCACAGCAGGATATTCCAAGCCTTAAGAGAGAGACCAAATGCTCAATTTCTTGATAGGAAAATATTAGTAATTTAACAGTGAGATTTTCAACAGCATAGAGTACTTGCCTAACTCGGTTTCCACTGAAGTCAGCGAGGAGTGCTTTTGAAAAAAAACATGCTAAATTGCTAATGAAATGACTCTAGTATTAGGGATAAATAACATGTAGTACCATGAAATATCTACAGATTAACATAAATAAATGTGTATTGGAATTACACACTTTGATTTCAGATACTGTTGCCACAAGTATCAGAACAAAAATTGGTGCCTAATTATTTTGATATCCCTATCAGAATTGTGAGAAATAAATAGATCAGCAATTGCATATCAACCCATTCTTTTACCATTCATAGCTTGACTATAACTCTATGAAGATTTACACTGAATTAACAAACTGGCATATGAGAGTTCAGCCCAACAAACATAGCACACTAATCAATTTGTTATTCTGGAAATAAATATAAAACAATTGAAAGACAAGGTGGGTGAGATAATATCTTAGTCGGGACAAAATTCTATTGGTGAAGAATTTGACAAGACCTTAAAAAGAGCTCTGTGTAATTGCAAAGATAATCTCTTTCAATAACAGAAATTGGTCCAATAAAAGATATTACCTCACCCACCTTGACTGCTTAATATCCTGGGATCAAGAAGGCTTGAACACTGGATAAAACAACTGAGATATTTTATAAAGTTTTGTTGATGAAAAAAGGGGATGACATCTCCATTTTAATATAGCAACATGAAAAGCTATGTGAAATGCAGCCATTTTAATATATATGGGTTTGTGCAAGCCATCTTATTTTTACATGCATGGGTTCTCAGTCTATACATTTTGCTCTACTTCTGGGGTTAGAACAAACTCAAAAACCTCACAGAAAAATTGATGAAACGGATGGAATATATTTGGAGTCCAAACCATATAAAACTTATGATTGTTGCCTGTTTTTCACTTAAAAAAATAAATCATTCCAAGTTCACCTAAATTTGCCCAACTTCACTCAAAAGTTGCCTAAATTCACTAGAAACTAGGTTGAGGTAACGTAGTTGGTAAACCTGGCTTGAGGGAAAAATATAATTTTTGTCATTTAAAAAAATATTCTTACAACTTTTTTTTGTTGAGAAGCTGTAACACCTCCCAACTGTGGAGCAGGGATTTGAAATTTGGAAAGGTGTTTAACCTCATGTCAGAAATGTGCTTTTTCCCATCCCTGTAAAAAATCCCCAAAATTTGGCAAAATTATGTCTCTCAAATACCTCAGTTGGTATGTGCTCACTAGAGAATTGTCAGAGTTTGGCAGCTAATTTCTTTGAAGATTCTATCTCCACTGATTATGACCTATCCCTGAGGGCTCCTAAAGGCTAACCTACCATTCCACAAAAAACGTGAGCATGCTCTATCCCAAGACTGCC